GCAAAATAACAGACCAGTGCTGCACCCGTAAGAACAAATGATAAAACAAACAAGCATACAAATATCTTAAAACAAACATGCATGCTATGTTTGAAAACAAACTGGCCTAGCACAGTGTAGCTGCCAGTCCAGTAGAAGACTGGAGTTGGGTGTCCAGTCAGGTCAGAGCTTCTGCTCAACTAAGTGGTGACTGAGGATCTATGATGTGAACTAGGTCATGAATAGCAGCTGGTCTCAGAGTAGCCAAGGCCAATCTTCCTAGTGGCAAATATCCATTAATAATCAGAATGTAAAATGTAGCAATTATGAACTCTAGGAAAACCGGAAGTTATAAAAAATTAAATAGAACACAAAAAGATCAATATCCTAGGCATTAGTAAGTTGAGATGGACTGGTACTGGCCATTCTGAATGAGATAATCGTAAGATTTATTATGTCAGGAATGACAAATTAAAGAAGAATGCTGCCACATTCAAAGTAAAAAGATTTATTCTGGAGCGCTATGAATGATATGACACTATCTACATGCATATAAGGAAAGCCTGTTTACACTATTAACTATAATATACCCACCAACCCCTAAAGAAAAGGATGATGAAATTGAGAAGTGCCAATTTTTACAGTCTGAAATTGAACATGCAATTAAGATGCATTAATAGTGATTCATGACCGAACTGTACTCAAAACAAGGAAAGAGAACTGTAGTTGGAAAATATGGAATTGGTGACAGAAATGAGGCTGGAGATAGAATTTTATACAGTGAATTATTTCTTTATTGTAAACATTTTTTTTAAAAAAGGTAATTATAGTGTTTGTTACGAGTCAAAGTTAATTAGACAGCAGTAAGTTCAATTGTTTCTCCACAAAGTACCAGCTACATAAAAAATAAAACAAGAATATTTTGAGTCTGCATCGTGTTGCTTTATCAGAGATATAAACAATAAAGATGACATTTTAAGAATCAATGCAAACAGAATTAAGTATTGTGTTTGTTGTTGTTCTGTACTGTCGAGTCGCTTGTGACTCATAGCGACCCTATGTACAACTGCTTCATCCTGTGTCAACTCTACTGTCTCTGACACATCTACCCTCATTACTCTAGTCACTGAATCAATTCATCTCATCGAAAGTCTTCCTCTCTTTCTCTGTTCCTCCACCCTTCCAAGCATGTTGTCACTTTCTAAGACTGACTGATTCCTCCTTGTAACATGCCCAAAGTATGTCAGATGAAGCCTCAGATTCCTTGCCTCCAAAGAGCAGCCTGGCTTCACCCTCTCCAGGATGAAACTGTTTGTTCTCCTGGCAGTCCATGGTATACTGAACACTCTTCTCCAGCACCACAGCTCAACGGCTTCAATTCTCCCTAGTCATTGTCCAGCTCTCTGATACATAGCAAGTAATTGCGAATGAAGTATGACAGGATATATATCTGAATTTAAAAGAATATTTACTCCTTTTTTTTAGCTGCCAGGTTTACAGGAGAAAAAGAAATGAGTTTTTATGCAAAAGTGGTTCCTATAAAGGAGAAAGGAATAGGTGGATATCTACATTCTAAGGTTAAGTACAAAACTCATGTAGTATGCTCAGGCAAATGAACAATAGGATTTAATGTATCTTGAGAACTTAAGATGTTCCCCATTGCTACTGCATCTCAGTTTTGTTCTTTTAATACTAGAATTTAAAGTGAAAAGTCAACAAGTGGTTTCTAAAAACAAAACGCATACAAAAAACCCCTACACAAAAACACAGAAAACTAGGGCTCAACGGATTTAACCTCATTTAGACCATTAAGAACACTGTATTCCAGTCATATGACCCTGATCAACTGGCACAAAGGCTGGTACTTTTTTCTATAGAGGTGAGCCAATAAGTAGCTTAGGTTGTGCAGGCCACACAGTTTCACAAACTCAACTCCACCACTACAGAGATAAGCAGCTAAAGAGCAGTCTTGACTATGTTCCAGTAAAATGGTACTGCATACACTAGATTTTATTAACATACTAAATACACACACACACACTCTCTCACTCTCTCTCTCTCTAGTGAACAACTAAATAGTCTCTGAAGTCATGAATAAAAACAAGAAAACAGTTATATATTTATACTCTTACTGTGACTGCAATAAAACTATAATCTAAAAGGGATAAACTATAAGGGGATAAAGAGCTCAGGAACACTAGAGAGTTAAGGATTAGAAATCACATTTGGGTTTCCTACTGCCAAAGGGGCCCTTTAGAGTAGTGAGAGAAGATCTTCACCCTCAAACCCACAGCGTCCCTTTTCAGCAGGAAGTAGCTAAGAGAATACGCCATCCCCTTTTCCTTATGACTCAGGGTGAAGTCTCTCTCAGGGAGGAGTGATAGGGAATGGCAAAGGACACACTGACAAAGGAGATTAATCAGAACTGGCTTTGACAAGCACTGTGGCAATTGGACAATTAAAACAGACATTCGGATGGCGGGGAAGAAGAACAAACTGGGGAGGAGGGTAGAGAGAATGGTGCAGCAATGAAGGAATGAAAACCCAAAATCCCTGTAAATGTTCATTAAAACTAATAAAATTTAATAATAAAAAAATAAAAAAATGTAAAAAAAAAAAGAAATCACATTTGGATAAAATATGGCATTAGAATAAGAACGTAAGTCATTCTTTGAGTACTCTATAAAAGTACTTGTTGCTAATCTGATGACAGTGAGATACATAAAGAAAATTTCAAAGAAAATGATGTGAAATAGCATAACTTCACTATGGTATTATGCTAAAGTAAAAGTCAAACCAAACCTATGGCTGTTAAGCTGACCCTACAGGACAGAGTACAACTGTCCCATCAAGTTTCTAAGTGTGTACTCTTTAGGGAAGCAGACAGCTAAATTTCTCTTATAGGGTGGTTGGTGGGTTCAAATTGTCAACCTTTGTCAGTTTAAATTAAAGTTGAGTACTTTAACTACTATGCCACTGTTTGTTGTAGTTGTGAGCCATCAAGTTGGAACTGACTCATAACTAACTCTCCAGTGGAGTTTTCAAAGGCTCTAACTCACATGGAGATTGCCCATCTGTGTAGTTTATCTTTCAGTATGACTTTTCCTTCCATTGTTTGATTTTGCTATGTAGATGGGTGGGAATGAGAGAAAGGAACATGCTAGCCTTGCCCCTGAAATAAAGTAAGACAACAGCGAGAGGCAAACAGATCTTGGTGTCACTGAAGCAGCAGCAAGAGAAGAGAATGCAGGACACCTTTCTTGCTCCAGCTATATTTCCAGCAGCTTCATCTATGGCCAAACTGGAGACATGACCTGAGATGGGACCTTAAGGAGAGGGCCAATCTGGACAGGACTGAGAACTTGGGAACACTGGCCTAAAGCTGTGAGGCTCGAGGCTGAGGTGTGTCTGTGTACATTTCAGAAGCTGTCTTGACTATTAATAATCTAGATTATAATTTTTTACTTCCCCAGTATGGTTCTGTGGGGTCTGTTAGCTACTGCATTGTATTCTGGACCCAGCAAAGCAGTTAGATTGGTGCTGAGATGCGAAAGAGCTGTGGAAGCCTAAGGGACATGTCTGACCTCATGGGAACAGGTTTTGTGTTACTGATGTTGCTGACAGAGGCAGTTTCCCTTTGTGAAGTTAGTAAACGTTAGATATGGCTGTTCCCACATGGCCCCAGCTCTTTTTACACCATCTATTCCTGAGGAGGAGTCGATGAATGCCTTTGGGATGGCAATGCAACTCCTTAACCATTAGGTCATCAGAGCTCCTAAATAATTGTTACAGAAAATGAAAAACGGAGAAAGTACTTACTTTTTATTGCCACTTTTAATTTCTAGGGAAGTAACAAAAAGAATATTCAAAGCAACAAAATGACATTTAATTCTATCGCCATTCCTTCTAAATAAAAAGATCAGATCCATTTCTCTACATTCATACTCAATCCAAGAAGTGAGGCACTGCCAAAGGTATGAACTGCATTTTGAATGCTAGGATTTTATTAATTCAGAAATAACAAATATACCACAATATATATAGTTTTCTGTTAAATAGCAAGATGACTTAGCTCTAAATATACTGTAACACAGTAAATATATTTGTGTCCAAATATGAAAGTTTACAGATATTGTCTTTATGAAACAATTCTTTTTTTTTTTTATTTTTTTGGGTTTTTTTTTTAAACAATTCTTAAGCAGAGCAAAAACCAATCTGCCTCTCCTATCTCTTCTCAAAATTTAAAAAATCCTGTTAGCAGTTACAGCATCTGGCTTGTTCACTGCTGCATCTCTGGCAGTTTAACAAAGAATAAAATATATGATTAGGTATTATTTGCATGACAATAGTCCAGAACAAAAAAAGGTGCATAGCAAAGTGAACTTGGGGAAGAAGAACTGAGCAACAATGAAAGAATTTTTAGAAAGAGAAAAGCAAACTGAGTGGTGGTAGGGAGAAAAATGTGCAAGAATGAATGAATGGAAATCCAAGTTCTCGGTCAACTTCAGTTAAAATCCCACCCCCCCAGACTGACATGAGGGGTTGGAGGGAGAATAGGAATAGAGTGGATAGATAATGAACAATGCATTGGAACAGATGAGGGGAAGATCTGTCTGAAAGAAATGTATGATTAGACACTGTATGCATGATAAAAAATCTAGAACAACAGGTGCACTGTAAAGTGGACTAGGGAAGGGAAAGGGAGAAGGAGGGAGGGAAAAATGCAGCAATCAATGAATGAAAACCCAAACTTTCTGTAAACCTTCATTAAAAAATTTTAACTATGGAATTTTAACAAGTTTGTTAAAGAACATTTTAACTACTACCACCATATATTTCACCATCAGAATAATAAAGGCCACACAAATGATATTTATATTGGTAACTAAAGAAGCAGCTAAACACATTCACAGCAACTTATTTAGAGTAGGACAAACAATTGACATTTCAAAAAATAACTATAATAACATAAAATTTACAAAGTGTAATTCAACTGCTCTAAGTAAGCAATTCTACTTTACCTTTCCTGGGATGAAGCAACAGAGATTGGAATCCACATACTTCATGAAAGTCATATTTAACAGTGATAGCCTTGTTTCAACAGCAGCAAGGATGTCTGCATGACGAGCTAATGAATGGTTTCTCCTTTCTGACTCTCGCCTATAATAAAATAGGGCAGCTATTAAAGTAGTATTGTAGACTAAAATATGCCTTAATGAAGGCATACTAACCATTTTGTGCTAATTTAAAGTCTAAAATTGGTCCATAACCTTCTGATGAATGAATCACTATACCTAAAAATTCTTGCCAGGGGCTGCTAAAATATCTGAAAAAGTTTTTGTTTTTTGTTTAGGTTTTTGTTTTCTGGCTAAATGAAATCTAATGGCTTTCAAATATTTGAGAAAACAGTTAATGAATAGATGTATGAACAGAAAGTATAATCTCCCCCCTCACCAAATCTGTGGTTCCAGATTTTCTTACACAGCTGTGTTGAGACATCATTCATATACCACAAAATTCACTTCTTCAAACTGTACAATCTAGTGGGTTTTAGTTACTCAGAGTTGTGCAACTATCATTATTATTGTCCTCTCAGCCACTGATCTAATCCCTGTTTTTATGGATTTGCTTGTTCTAGGCATTTCCATATAAATGGGATTGTAGAGTAAATTTTCTTTTTTGTGTGTATGGTTATTTCACATAGCAGTTTTAAAAGTTCATCCATGCTTTGGAGTGGATCAGAATTTTACCTTTATTTTACTGTCAAATAATACTTCATTGCACAGATGTACACTTATTCAGCTGATAAAACATCTAGGCTGTTTCTACTTTCTGTTTATCATAAGTAATGCTATGAACATTCATAGGCTAGTTTTTGTGAGGATGCACGCTTGGGAGATAGATTTAGAAATGAAATTGCTGAATTATATGCTAACTCTAGATAAAGTTTTTCAAGAACTGTCAAAATGGTTATACCAATTTTATAATCCCACTAGCAATGTACAAGAGTTCTAATTTTTCCACGCCTTACCCAACTTTTGTTAGTCATTTTATTTTAATCAGTATAATATTTAATCAGTATAATAGTAATCAGTAAAAGTGGGAGCTCTGGTGGCCTAGGGATGAGGAGTGGTGCTCAGTAAAAGTGGGAGATCTGGTGGCCTAGGGATGAGGAGTGGTGCTGTTAACCAAAATCACATGGTTCGAATCCACCAGCTGCTCCATGTGAGAAGGATGGGCAGTCTACTCCCATGAGATTTACTGCCTCTGGTTCTGACTTAACGGTACACAACAGTAACAACAGAAGATCAGGAGCTATGGAGGCAGGGGTGGGGGTGTATGTGTTACATGTTGGGATGCTAACTCAAAGGCTCATACTGAAGCCACCAGAGGCTCCACAGAAGGATGGGGAGTCTGTTTACTCCTGTAAGGATTTACAATCTTGGAAAAATCAATGAACATCACCATGAGTTAGAATTAACTTAATAGCAGTGGTGTTCATTTAAGAGGAAGCCTGGTGGTATAGTGGTTAAAGCACTCAGTTATAAACCAAGGCACCTTGCTTCTGCAAAGATTTACAGCTTGATTGGTGACTTTAAGTTGACTATACTGTTTATAATGAGTATGAAGGGAACTCTGTTGATTTAGTGTTAAGGAGTCAAGCTGCTAAGTCAAAAGCATGTGGTTTCAATATATCAGCTTCTCTGCAAGAGAAAGATAGGCAACCTCTTATTGTGCAATTTACTGCCTTTGAAAACCAGCTGGAGGGTCAGCTATGCATCAGTTTCAACTCAATGGTACAAAGTAACATAGTTTTGATTTGCATTTCTCTGATAATTAATGATTCCACTGAAAAATGGCTGGTATAATACATCAACAAGGAATGTCCAAATATCTAAGATGGATTAAGATACAAGGAAAATTCTTGTTAATGTCAAGTGGATCTTGTTGAGAGCAGAAAATACCAAAGACGTTTACTTGTGGTTTTACTGCAAAGGCATTCAACTGTGTAAATCATAACAAATTAAGGATAACATGGAGAAGAATGGGAATTCGACACTTAATTGTGCTCAAGCAAATTACATACACCAAGAAGCAGTTGTCCCCACAGAACAAGGGGACAATGCATAGTTAAAATCAAGAAAGCTGTGCATCAAGATTGTATCCTTTCTTTGTATCCAATTTGTATGCTGAACAAGTAATTCTGAGAAGCTGGGCTATATGAAGAAGAATGTGGCATAAAGATGGAAGAAAGACTCATCTATAACCTGCATTAAGTAGACGACACAACCTTGCTTGCAGAGAGTGAGAGGACTAGGCTTCCACAATTCCATGAGACAGCAGGAATCTCTAGACTGCTGTCTCAACCACAGTTGTGCTTGCCAGCCTTCATGATGTAGTGAGTCAATTAACTGAAGTAAATGTCGCTACACAAATACATTAAAACCAAATCCTCTGCCATCAATTTGCTGCTGGCTCATGGTAACCCTCCGCTGATTCTTGTGGAAGTGTGATGGATGGATTAGAACTGTTAACCTTTTGATTAGCAACTCAACATGCTATTCCTCCAGGGCTTTTTATCCATCCATCCATCCATCCATCCATCCATCCATCCATCCATCCACCCACCCACCCATCCATCTTTATATATATTTGTTGTTGTTGTTGTTAGGTGCCAGTGAGTTTGAACAGTAAATTGCACAGGAGATTGCCCATCTTTCTCCTGCAAAGCAGCTGGTGGGGGAGCTCTGGCAGCCTAGTGGCAAGAAGCTGCACTAAAATCCCAGAGGTACATGGTTCGAATACACCAGATGCTCTGCTGGAGAAGGAGGGACAATATCCTCCTGTACCAGTCAGATATGATTTGATGGTACACGCACACAAAATAATAAAATAAAATTTAAAAAAAGCAGCTGGTGGATTTGAACATGTTGTGTGCCTCTGGGTTGTCATCACAGTTCCTTACTACTAAGTCCTGGAACTTGCTGTATATATTACACATACATACAATAAAACCTGTAAAAGCTCAAGAGCATGTGCAAGTTGGAAACCTGACAGAGAAAAGAAACATTTTTCATTAAATAAGAGTGATAGAAAAGTGGTGACTACACACAATCTAAAGTGGTCTTGGAGTTCTCTCATTTACAGATCATTCTCTCTTTACACAAACATCCCTACACACACTTATCCCCTCATCTTATGGATCTGACTTCTCTACAGTACCCTAAGATATTTATTACTGTGTTTTTGTCTGAGAGTTTTATGGTTTAGCTCTTAACTTTAGGTATTGCAAGTGACTTCTGTTGGTAGTTTGAGGAAGCAGCCAATTTTTTGCATGTATATCTCCTTGTGCCAGTATCTCTTGAAGAAAACATTGTATTCTCTCATTGCGCTGTCCTGGCACTTCTGTTGAAACTGACAGAGACCTGGTTTCTTAAGTAAGGTGCTAAATAAAGGGTCAACGTTTAAACCTTTCTTTTTAATGTTTTAGTGATTTTTATTTCATGTTTTTATGAACGTTTAATGTTTAAACCTTCTCTTTAGAGAGAAAAGATCTGGTTATGTGTAACTGTAGATTGTTGCTATGTAGCATCAAGGTGGAGTCAACATATAGCTGATCTTCTAGTGGATTTTCAGAGGCAGTAAATCACACGGCAGGAGATCAACCCTATTTCTCACATGGAGCTGCTGGTGGGTTAGAACTGCGTGCGTGCCTCTGGGTCAGCAGCACAATTCTTTGTTTCAAAGACACCAGAGCTTCCTCCTGTAAAAATTTTAGTTAGGATATCCTGTGGGCAGTTCAACTTAGTCCTATAGGATCTCAAAGTTAGGTTCATGGCACAGAACATAAAGGTGTATTTCTGAACTTGAATTGTACTCCACAGACCTGTATCTGCCTAGCCCTATATTGGTAGCATACTGTTCTTGGTTACTGTCGCTTTGTAGTCAATTCTGGCATTGCCAAGTGTGACTCTTGCAACCTTCTTTGGCTATTTTGGGTCTCATATTTTTACATGATTTCTGAGATCATGTTCTTTCTGTAGATCAATTTGAAGAATATACCATCTTAATAATACAAAATTTTCAAATCTATGAACATGAGATGTCCTTCCACCCAAGTTTTCTTTGGTTATTTCCACTAGTAGTTTGTACTTTTCAGTATATAAATCTTGACTTTGTTACATTTGCTCCTAGGTAATTTTTTCCTTTTAATGCTGCTATAAATAGAATTGTCTCCTTTATTCGCTTTTCAGATTGTTTATTAAGTGTACAGAAAGAGAATAAATTTTTGTAAAGGTAGATATGGGATTACAAATAAGTTCTGTTCCTAAATCTGTCTTTAAGTTGAATGTTAAGTCAAAACAGCTCCCCAGGTTTTATCTAATGTCAATTAGTCAGACTGTCACTAGGTACTCTTTAACATAACCACCTCAGTATGTCAGGAGGATTGGTTACAGGACACACTCACTATAAAAAAAATCTATAGCTCATCCCCTACATAACACAGGCTAGTATTTGTATATAACCACACAGATCTTCCATATACTTTAAAGCAACTCTTTTGTTTTTATTGCGTACTGTCAAATAACAACCAATCCATAACTGACCCTTCAGCAGGTTTTCAGGGGCAGTACATCATATAGGAAAAGACTGCCTATCCTCTTCCCACAGAGAAGCTGGTGGATTCAAACCACAGTGCAACCTAACACAATGTAAATGCTATAGAAAATAGTACTTCAAGGCCCTTTTAGTTTTTTAGGGATTGTTTTGTCCACTTAACTGCCACCCTTTTCCCAAATATTTGTTAACTACAGTTGGTCAAACTCATAAATGCACAACCTGCAGATACCAAGGGGAGAATGTATAGCAGGGCACTGCAGGTCTGCTAAGAGTGGTCCAGCAGGTGAGGGAGCTAGCAACTCTGCTAGGCCAATGGATGGCCTGACTGTTAGGCAGGATGAAGGAATGGTGTGAGGGGCTAGAGTATCACAGCCTTGGTTAGGCATGTTTGGCCAAATGAATAGGTTGGCAGAGGCAGGCAACAATGGCAAGTGTCACCAAGGGAAAAAAGTGGGGGAAGGATAAGGAAGAAGAAGGGAAAACAAAAGGATGGGAGAAAGGGACCCAGGGTCTTGGAGAAGGCTACAGCCTGGAGCAGG